TTGAGCCGTTTTCATATAGGGGCATGTGATTCATTCTTTTTACAAAGTGAGACATGTATTTCAGTTATGTTATCACAACTGGGGCATGATGTCTAATGTCGTTAGAAAAATTACTCGGATTTTCAAGTCTCCGAAAAATTAAAAGAAAATACTCGGAGGTGCGCCTCGTCAAGAAGACCTCCATACCATCTTTCCTTTTTTTTGTCTCCAGCCACCTAGTCACCAGAAAGTCCACCGAAAAAGTGACATTAGTGGATTCGTTTTAAAAAAATTCAAATAGAGCCGAACAATACAAAAAGAACGACAGTTTTTTGTCTCCTTGACGAGGCGCACCTCCGAGTATTTTCATATTTATTTTTTTCAGAGACTTTTGAAAGTCGGAGTTAACTTTTCTAACGGCGCTAGATGTCATGCCCCAGCTGTGAGAACAGAATTGAAACACATGTATCAGTTTGTTAAAAATGAAACACATGTCCCTATCTGAAATCGGCGTAAACCACATGTACGATTTCTATACTTTTCCCATTTTAATATAACGACCGCTCTTTTATGATAAAAAAATATTCAAATCTAAATCACAATTTTTATTTTTTTCAACCACTTTATTTATTATTGTTGTATCAAATCAAAGTATGACACATAAAATTTGGCGGTAATATTAAAAGGAAAACAACTACTTATCAGGAGTGTAATAATTTACTAATCCGTACGGAGTATTATTTAATTCAATTTAGTACATAGCACTCCCTCCGTCCCTTTTTATCTGTCTTACTTTAATTTTTGGACTGTTCCAAAATAAGTGTCACATTTTCTTTTTTGAAAGTAGTTCACAACATTTCACTTTATTATACCCAAATCTCAATCACAACTTTTACATTTTCAACTATTTTATTAATAATCGTGCGTAAGCCAAATGACACGGGTTTAATGCACCAAACCCCCTCGTGAAATATAAATTCGGCGTATTAGGCCCTTGTGATTCGATATCACTTTTTTCAATAATATGATCGAATATGCAAGTAACACTGTCAAAATTTCTAAATTATACAAAAAACTAATCATTTTTCATTTTTGGGAAATTAAATTTGTTTTTGGAGAGAGTTTGGCGCATGATTAATTATAACACAGGGAGGTTTGACATATTTTTTAAATCATAGAAGATTAATACGTTGAATTTATATTTCATTAGTGGGATTGATGCATTAAACCCCAAATGACACGAGTCCGATTTTGTTCACCCCCACTAAGGAGGGTGAACATCACCCTCACCCTTTAATGCATGCCATTTGGCATTATATTTCTTTTTTCCCTTAAATTTATTATAACTTTTTAATTTCTAATCTAATTTTCACAAAAAATATATCAGATTTAATAATTCTTTATGATCTTTCCAATGATATCCATATTGCATACAAAAAAGTTAAATGAAAAATCATTTTTTCTTAAGTATATTTTTAACGGGATTTTTTTTTAATTTTACATATGTAATATTGATACCATATGAAAGATCATAAAAAATTAAAAATATTGATATATTTTTTGAAAAAATTGAACCAAAAATGAAAAAGTTATAACAATTGCCAAATTTTAAAGAACTGTCATGCCATGTGGCAGCCTAATAGGGTGGGGTGATGTTCACCTACATTTGAGGGGTGAACAAAATTGTTTTCAAATCACACATCTAAAAATGGGACCGTAGTATTAAGCTATTAGCTATGGAAGATGCTCGTAAGATGCGGAAGACAGTGACCGAAATACTGACTTCATGATGGCGTTAGCATGATGCGAGCGTCCGATTTAGTTACGGAGTACAAATAAATAAGGAAAACTATCAAATAAGCCTCGTACTATGTCGAAAAAGTCGATTAGGCTCTCATACTTTACAAACATTCAATTAATTAAGTTCTCGAACTATTAATAAACGTTCAATTAAGCTCTTTTGTTGGGTAAGTAACCGGTTTCCCGGTTAAATGGCGACGACGGCGACGATGTGCTCGAACGCCAACAACGGCGGCTGCTGGGAAACGACTTACATTTAACCAGGAAACCGGTTACTTACCGACCGAAAGGGCTTAATTGAACGTTTTTTAATAATTCGAGGACTTAATTGAGTGTTTGTAAAGTACGAGGGCCTAATCGACTTTTTCGGTATAGTACAGGGGCTTATTTGATAGTTTTCCCAATAAATAATGGACATAAAATGTGTACATTACTTAGAGTACTCTTCCAGTCAGGAATTCCTGACCTGAACCGCCGTCCGGACGGCGGCGTTTGGCCGCCTTCCCGGTGACTTTTTTTTTATGAAATTTTTATGACATGTTCTCCATCAAGTCTAGTTTATCCACACAAAAATTTAGCCAAAAACTCAATCGGGAAGGTCGTCATATGATTTTTGCAAGTTAACTGGTCCGGAATATGTATTTTCCGGACCAGTTAACTTGCGAAAATCATTTTCCGGGAAGGCAGCCAAACGCTATCGTCCGGACGGCGGTTCTTGTCCGGAATTACGGACATGAACATTTGTGCATTACTTAAGTAGTAATTTGTCATCAAGTTCTGCCCATTTTTAAATGAATTGTCTGTGCACACGTGCAACTAGAGAGGAATTGTTTACAATTTGTGTACAACTCATGTACAGTAAGATTTTTTCAAAAATAATACTCGTACTCTGTAGGAAATTCTATGTGTTTTTCAGAAATCTCGTTACTGTGAGTCCGGTTTGATATATTGGATTATCCTCTAAAAAATTATGAAGTTTTTGTTGAAGTGGTTAGATTGACTGATTATGTTGATCTATATAAAGAATTATATTTAAAATACGAAGTATATTTTATTAATATATTTTATTATGGAAAATTGCTAAAATGATCTACACTAACTCCGGTTAATACAATTAGAAAAGTAATTCAATTTTAAGTTTTCTTATTATTAGACAATGTTGTGCGCGAAATCAAAAGTTAAGAATGAGATGAAAAAAATTGATTGATAAATTTGTAACCTAAAAACAAGATTACCAAACAAGCTCTATATTTTTATTCTCTAAGTAAAAATACTCCGTAATTACTACCAATTTTTAAAATTACTGTTATGCTTTAAATATGACAATGTCAAAATATGACAGTAAACACTCGTTTTTAGAAAATAAATACAAGTTAGTTGTATTTTTGAATTGATGAATGTTTTTATCCTACTTAAATCATTTTTTAAATGATACTACATGTCCAATTTTGGTAATTGTTATGTACCTTTAATTTATTATAACTTTACTCACAATGTGTCAAGTACCTTAACAAGAACATATCATATAGAGGCCGTTTGACAACACTGTTTTTCGGCTTATCAGGCTTATCAGCCAGGTTTTTTACCAAACACGTAATTTTTGCTTTCGCGCGCAGAATTGTGTGATAAGCAGGAAAAGTACAGTTGAAGTTACTTTTCTGGTTGTATTGGCTGAAGTGACTGTAGATGACCATTTTAGCTATTTTTACATATAATTTTTTTTATTAATAAAATATATTTTAGAGATAATTTTTTCTTAAATCAGCAGGATCAGCTAATGCAGCCACTTCAGTCAGAACTTCATAAATTTCGGCTGAATCAACCTAAATAACCGATTTTCGTCCTACCAAACGAGCTCATAATATGTTAAAAAACTTTACCCAAAAATTACTCACAACGTTTCTCGTATTCCAAACCTCGGGGGATAAAGTTAATAAATACTACATCCGTCCCTTTTATATTGGTACGGAGGAGGGTGACACAATTATTAAGAAAAATGGGTTTGTGCGGTTGATATTAATTGATAAATTAAGAATAATGTAAGAACGATTTAGAGTCACACAAACTTTACCAAATATGGTATGAGACAATATTAGTGGGACTTCCCAAAAAGGTAAAATGAGACAATATAAGGGGGACGGAGGGAGTAATTATATCATTTTCACTACCCCTCCCCCCATTAAATTAGGACAAGAGTGGTGGTACAATTATTGAAAAAATGTAAAGTTATATACTTCATCCGTCCCATAAAATAGTTCCCGCATTGACTTGAATCGGAGTTTAAGAAAGTAGGAATAAAGTGGAAATATATGATTGTAGTTGTGTAAGAAAAAAGTAAATGAATGTGAGCCACACAAAACTTTCCAAAAAAGGAAACGAGAACTATTTTTTGGGACGACCCAAAAAGGAAATCAGGAACTATTGTGTGGGACGGAGGGAGTAATCAATATAGAATTGATACAATGTGAATATAGTAAAATGAATTATAATTAATTATAGAAATGTTACTGTTAAGACCTGGAATTCCATTCTAAGAGGTCAACATGATAGAAGAAGTAATCCAAAGACTTATATAGTATTTAATTGTTTATACATTTTCGGTGTGGGACAAATGTTTTAACAGTTACTAAATAAGATGTGAAAAAACATTTCCGAGGAAAAATGAAAAATAGACAAAGACAGTGGACAAATTTTCAAATGATAACTACATGCAATTTGTTTTGTTTTAATAAAATGGTTTATCATGTTAATGAAGAAGTCTAAATAATTACTAATAATTTTTTAACAGAAAAATAACTGTTATAAATAAACTAAGTAATGATTTGTTTATTATCCCATGTAAAAAAAAAGAACGAAAAATATATACTATGGTGAAAAGTTAAAAAAAAATGTATTGATTGGGTGAACATATATATATATATATGTCGTTTCTAAATAGCTATCTAAGCTCATTGATGATGAAAAGATATAAATATGCTTAGGCCATCTTTATTCATTAATTATTTGAAGATTAGTTAAATGATGTGTCGAATTATTCAAAAAAATTATAATTGTGAGAGAGATTACTCAGGCAACCAATTGAAAATGACAACTCAGTATTAATATCCCGTACACAAATTGTTTAGTTTCATTATTGATAAAGAGTTTTGATAAAGAGAAATAACCTATTCATCAAAGCTAAAAGTGTTCAAACATGGAAAAATACTATCCGTAGTGTCAAGTGTAACTCATTTTTCTACCGCAAACCGTACAATTTTAATTGCATCTTGCAATACACAATTTTTTTTCGCTTTCAAACTATAGACTTAGAGCCCGTTTGGAGAACTCTATTTTCGGCTTATCAGGCTTATCAGCCAGCTTTTTCACCAAACACGTAACTTTTACTTTCGCGCGCTGAATTGTGTAATAAGCCGAAAAAGTAAGGTTGAAGTTACTTTTCTGGCTGTATTGGCTGAAGTTACTGTAGAGGACCATTTTAGCTATTTTTACATATAATTTTTTCTTTAATTTATTAATAAAATATATTTTTAAAATATTTTTTTTTTAAATCAGCAGAATCAGCCAAAACAGCCACTCCAGCCAGAATATCATAAATTTCAGCAGAATCAGCCAAAACAGCCGATTTTGGTGCTACCAAACGGGGTCTTAGATGTTTCCAAATAAAAACTATAGACTTGATCGTCCTACCGGCTCACGCGCCTTTTACCACACTGTCACATCCGCATCTATCTATGTATACACAACGCTTTCTCCGTCCAATTAGCTTCTCATAACAATAATCGACGTTAAAGTTAACGGCGTAATCATATTTTTGCATCCCGTCTAGAAGGTTCCATCCGTCTTTCTCGTTAGCACCAAAACAGGTCGGTACGGCAGATCAGAGCGCCGTTTATTTCCTCTGTTTTATGCATTTTGTAACTCCGACCGGCTTTCCGGCGTGTGGGGGACTCTCGGTTACAACCTGTTTATCTCCTTTGTTTTTATAATCCCCTTTCTTGAAGGAAAGAGCCAGAAAGACGAATTTCTCCTTGCCGTCGCTGTGGCTCCGGTGGAGGAGGTCTCGAATTCTCCAGCGCTTCGACGCGCCCGTAGAGTTGCTTTTCGCGCACCTGTCTAGTAATGCTTCCTCCTTCGGCCGCCAGACACAGTAGGTTCCCGCCGGAATTCCGTCGAGCTCATCGTCTTCCGATGATAGATTATCACGTTCATTTTCTAGCAGTTTTCGTAACGGCAGGCGAACCGGCGACGATTTAGAGGTTCCATTGCTCAATTTCATATCGCCTGAGAGCAGATTCTGGTTGAAAATTGGATACACCGGCCGGATCTGTCCGTTGTAGAAGATTTGATCGGCCGAGATGAGAGAGAACCCCGCATCCCCGGCTCCCGGGACAAAAGCGAATTCGAAATCTCCTTCATCTGGCTCATCTCTGTCCTCCTCGTGATCCTCCGGATCTAAACGATGATCTTCCAGATCGCAGAAAAAGTCGTCCAGAAATTCGGAATCAGTCTCTTTATCAGCTCGGAATTCTTCGACGACTCTCGCGGCGATATCTGCTAAGCTGCTATTGGAATAGCAGTTAAAGCTGGGGGACGATGAGGCCTCCGGCGATAACACCGGACAGGTCCGCATTTCGCCGGCGAAACTATTGGTACCTAGAGTTTCCTCCTCCAACATGAGCCTGTGCATTTTTTTGAACAGATTACGAGAGAATGAAAGATACAGGGAAAGGGAAAGTGAGTTTAGGTGGGGAGAAGGAAAAGTATGGGATTAGTTTCAGCATAAAATAAATACGTTACTTATTTGTAAGTTGAAACGTAAGAGATGGAGGAAAAGAAAGGATAACTGTTGGACTTTTTGATAAGGTTTAGATGGCGCGTCAGTTGTCACCCTGTTCCATTGATGGCGCGTCAGTCAGGTTGAGTGTGTAATAGAGACCAGACCCATTTTGTTCCATTCTTGGACAATTACCTTAGTCGACAATATTGTGGTTAGGGAAAAGGTGCAAATAAGCTCATGTACTAACAAAAAAGATCAAATAAGCCCTTATTTTGGAGGCTCTGTCCGGCCGTCGTCATTGGGGGTGATTTCTGGTGTAATTTTTTGATGATTTTTTTTAGCATCTTATTCATCAAGTCAAGTTTATTCATACAAAATTTCAGCTAAAACTTCAATCGAGAAGGCATTCAAATGAATTCTTGAAGATAATTGCGCTTCTAATTGCACAGTTATTTTCAAGAATTCATTTGAATGCCTTCCCGATTGAAGTTTTAGCTGAAATTTGGTATGAGTAAACTAGACTTAATGAATAAGATGCTCAAAAAAATTCATCAAAAAATTCCATCGGGAACCATCCTAAATGACGACGGCCGGACAGAACCACCAAAATAAAGGCTTATTTGACCTTTTTTGATTAGTACATGGGCCTATTTGCACCTTTTCCCTTGTGGTTATGTATGAGTGAGGTCATCTCACTTCTAGATTATTTTTGAAAAATACACGCCCTTCAAATTGTTTTTATATAGTTAACTTGATCGACATTTTATGAAAAAACAGATTTTCATTGTTTGTGTACGTATAATTGTCTGTATATAAATAATTTAAATTGTCTGTAACACATAAAAGAACTCGTCTAAATTGGTTTTTATTCATGGCCATTTGCATCCTCCCAAAAATTATCTGCAAAATTTCAGTTTTAATTTCAATCGAGTAATCAATTAAATAAATTATTAAAAACATTGCGTCAAATATATAATTCGTATATAAAATGCAATGTTTTTGTAGGCATAATCTACACTTGATGATAAAAAAGGCTAAAAAAAGTTTTACCGGAAACCACCTCAAACGGAGGTGATTGGACAGAAAGTCGAGTCCATCCGGCTGGACAAAATCATTACACATATTCGAGTAAAAGGTAAAATAAATTTAATACCAAGTATATAATGGTTTCTAGGCCATTTGCATCCTCCCAAAAATTTGTTTCATCCATTGGGAGCCTAGCTCCTTCTTTATGATCTTTAAATTTTTGAAGGGTTTAAATTTAAATACGAAAGAAAGTGAAGGGCCTGTTTACTAACAGAGATATTTTCCTGTTTTCTACTTCTGTTTTTCGTTCTCCAATTTTCTGTTTTTATTTTTCAGTTTTTCTATCTCCAATTTTCTGTTTCTATTTTTTAGTTTTCCATTTTCAAATGTGAAAACATGTTCATCAATTTTTTTCACACAGTTCTCTAATTCCACACCCATGACCCCTACACTCTACCCATACTCCACCACAACCCTTCATACCCACCCATACCTACTCGTAGGGGTCGGATAGGGAAGTTATGGGTGGGGGTGGGGTAAGGGGTATGGTCGGGGTGGGGTGGTAAGGTCTAGGAGTTGGGGGTTGGGTGGGGGTAGTGGGTGGTTAGGGTCGTGGTTAGGGTTAAGGGTGGGGTAGTGGGTAGGGAGTTGGGATAGGATGGCGGCAGGGTGGGGCCGGGGTAGGGAAGGGGTAGGGTGGCGGTAAGGGTGGGGGTAGTGGGTGGGGTTTGGGGTTGGGGTAAGGTAGGGGTAGGGTAGGGAGTTGGGATAGGATGGAGGTAGGGTGGGGCTGGGGTAGGGAATGGGTAGGATGCGGTGGGGGTAAGATGGCAATAAGGGTGAGGGTAGTGGGTAGGGTTTGGGGTTGGGGTAAGGTAGGGGTAGGGTAGGGAGTTGGGATAGGTGGGCCCGGGATCCGGGTGGGGGTAGGATGGCGGTGGGGTGGGGCCGAGGTAGGAGGCATGTGGTAAGGGGTAAGGTAGGGGTATGTGGTAATATACAAGGGGTAGGGTCGAGGTGGTAGGGGGGTGGCGGTAGGGTAGGGTGGATCGAGGTGGGGTCGAGGTGGTAGGGTAGGGTGGATCGGGGTGGGGCCGAGGTCGGGGCATGTGGTGGGGGCTGGGGTAAGGTCATTATAGGGAAAAATGGGTGCGCGGGGTGGGGGTTGGGTGGGTAGGGTAGGGGTAAGAGGTAAGGTACGAGGATGGAGGTACCGGAATGGAATTGACATCGGAGCGGGACCGGACCCACCACTAGGTGTAAGTATGCAAATTCATTGCAAAGGCACTGTAGCATCTGCGTTTTCCAAATTTGGAAAACTAGTAAAAGTCACTTCTCCAAATCATTAAGGAAAAGAGAGACATGTTTCATTTTTTCCGTTTTGGAAAACGATTTGGTAAACGCGTTTTTCTTTTTTCCTTTCTCCAGTTTTCCAGGAATTTCTTTGGTAAACACGTTTCCTGTTTTCTGTTTTCCAGTTTTCCAATTTTCTGAAAAACTGGAAAATATTTCTGTTAATAAACAGGCCCGAAATGTTTTGTCTAGTCAAATTTAAACCTATATTGCCATGGCGGTATATGGCCACTTATATATCATATAGGTAGCATCTTTTTATTCGCCTTAAGTGGTCGATCATAACTTCATAAAACTAATTTTAAGATCTTTCAAGGAAAGAATTGTGATTTTCTTTTTTTACTCCAGGGGGCACCTGAGGCCTTGAATAATCAAGACTGAAACTCACTCCATTGAGTTTCCCGAAATCTCACATAAAGGAGAGTTAGTCGGCAACCAATTGCGCTGGACCGCTTCCTCAAAAAGAATTGTGATTTGTTTGAGCAATATTTCAGAGTTCTAGCACAATATGCCTGCCTCTCAATCCACTTGAACGACCACTTGAAAAGTAAATTGACCTCTTTAATGACTTAAAAACTTACTATTCGCGGGTCCATTGATAAGGTTATGTTTGTGACTTTGTGTGGTTGCTTTGTTAAGTTTTCGAATACAATCACGAATTTGATTATACTATCGTATGATGATCAGCATGACGCAGGGCGCAAGCAGTCATCGACCCCTCACAAACGCACTCCCCTCGAATAGCGCTCATCGGCAAAAAATCCCAAACGATGAAACGGCCAAAGTGCAAAACCCCAAATATTCGTCAATCGATGGTCCGTTTGCCGGCTTGATCTTCGCCGACTTCGTCAATCGATGGTCCGTTCGCCGGCACTCGTACTGTCGTCTATCGGAGTGTCGCAACGCTCCAATTTCACTCGAACGCCGGCTGCCCAGCTTTGCTTGTCCGCCTGAGTGCCTGACCGGCTGACCCGCTTCGCCCTGTCGCCGGTAAGTGTATTTCTGTTCTTTTCAGTTTGCTAACTGCGTTTGTTTAGCCAATTAGCCGATGTTCTGCTTATTTCAATTAGCCGATGTTCTGCTTATTTGGGTGCATTAAAGTATTGAATTGGACTCTTTTGAGTTTTGAGTATTTGATTATTACAGACTTTACAGTGAGCCTCTTAGTAGTTAAAATATTTATTATGAATTCCTTATAGTTATAAATGTAATTTGTGATTGGTTAGTTCTAATTTGTAATTTGTATTTTGTGAGCATCATTTGTATTTATATAGTAATGCATATCTTGGTTGGCTCATTACTTCCATTAACATATTTTTCTTTTTGTATATACTACTTTATAGTACTCCGTATATTAATCTTACTATTATATAAATCTTGTTTATTTCTTAATATGATTTATTTGTTAGTATTGATATAATTATTTTAGTAATTAATAATTCCATTTTTCAATAAAGGTAATGAAGAGATACTATAACCCTGATGAAGTAGGAACTAATGAAGACAACTCATCTAGAATTGTAGTTCCTTCACCTACAATTCAAGAATCTTCAAATACGAATGAGGAACCAAACAACAATCAATCATTTTCCGGTGAAGAGTTTGATTCTTCCCAACTTCCATCTGACCCTGGATTGAGAATACCAATCTCAAGCTATAATCCAAACATCAGAGATCAAGTTCGAAGGGCATATTTGCAGAAGGGTCCTTGTCAACCGTTTGAGCACAAGTTCCCAATGAAGGTGGTTTCGGCAAATAAATCACGAAGATTTATCCCAGCTTGGTTTACTGAACATGATTGGTTGGAGTATAGCATATCTAAAGATGCTGCCTATTGCCTCTATTGTTATCTTTTTAAACCCAATAAAGGCAAACAATCAGGGGGAGATGTGTTTGTTACAGTGGGATTTAACAGTTGGAAAGATAAGTCCAGACTTAATGTTCATGTTGGGAAGCATGATAGCGAGCACAATGAAGCTCGAAGGAGTTGTGATGCATTGATGAATCAAAATGCACATATTGAAACGGTTTTGGACAAGCAATCAATGCAGACAAAAAATGATTATCGCATCCGATTGATTGCATCTCTTGATTGTGTGCGGTACTTGTTGAGGTTAGGGTTACCTTTCCGGGGTCATGATGAATCAGAAGACTCTTTAAATCCAGGTAATTTTCTAGTGACCATGGAATTTTTAAGGGATCATAATCTTGAGATAGCTTCTGTGGTAATGGATAATGCACCTGGAAATTGCAAACTTCTTGCACCTAGCATTCAAAAAGATTTAACTCATGCTTGTGCTATTGAGACATTGAATGTTATCATTCAAGATGTTGGAGATTCTTTATATTCTGTTCTTGTTGATGAATCCCGTGATGTATCAACAAAAGAACAAATGTCAGTTGTGATACGTTATGTTGATGATACTGGACATGTGAAAGAACGGTTTATTGGAGTTGAGCATGTCACGAGTACCACATCACTTGCACTTAAGGAAGCTATTGACACATTATTTTCTAGATACAACTTGAGCATATCTAGATTAAGAGGGCAAGGTTATGATGGGGCTAGTAATATGCAAGGGAGACTCAGTGGGCTGAAAACACTTATTCTTAATGAAAACTCAACTGCATATTATATTCACTGTTTTGCACATCAACTCCAACTTGCCCTTGTAGCTGTTGCCACAAAGAATCTTCTTATTGCTGAGTTTTTTCGTGTTGTTGCTCAATTGATAAATGTTATCGGAGGTTCGTGTAAACGTTCCGACATTCTTCGTGAAAAACAATTGAACTTCATTGTTGAGGCGCTTGAAAGTGGGAAAATATCAAGTGGACGAGGTCTTAATCAAGAATCTAGCCTTCAGCGCGCGGGTGATACCCGTTGGGGTTCACATTACAGATCGTTGGTTAGCTTGATTTCAATGTTTTCTGCTGTTGGTGATGTGCTTGATGTGATCCACGATGATGAGGTGACAACATCTATGCAAAAGGTGGAGATAGAGTATTTACTCAAAATGATGCATTGCTTTGATTTTGTTCTCAATTTGCACATGATGAAATTTATTTTGGGAATATCAAATGAGTTGTCCCAAGCTTTACAAAGACGTGATCAAGATATCATTAATGCGATGGATTTGGTTAGAGTTTGTAGGCACCGACTTCAAGCTTGTAGAGATGACGGATGGGATTCTTTATTTGAGGAGGTGTGTATTTTTTGTGATCAACATTCTATTTCTATCCCAAACATGAATGACACATTTATCCGTTTTGACTCTCGAGGTCGCCCCGTACGTAAAGGACCAACTCTTACAAATTTGCATCACTACCGCTATGATTTATTTTGTGCTGTGATTGATTTGCAATTGCAAGAGTTGAGTGATCGTTTCTCGGAGGCTAGTACAGAGTTGCTACTTTGCATTGCTTGCTTATCTCCACAAGATTCATTTTCAGCTTTTGAGAAGAACAAGTTGCTTAGATTGACTGAGTTTTATCCCCAAGACTTTTCACCGTCAGATGTTTGTATTCTCAAAGATCAACTTGAAAGTTATATTTTTGATGTGCGCTCTAATGCTTTATTTAATGACTTGAAAGGACTTGGCGATCTTGCAGAGAAGTTGGTGGAAACTAAGAAGCACAAGGTGTTTCCTTTAGTCTACAAGCTATTGACTTTGGCGTTGATTCTTCCTGTCGCAACCGCTAGTGTTGAAAGAGTATTTTCAGCAATGAATATTGTGAAGGATAGGTTGAGCAACCGGATGAGTGATGATTGGCTCAATGATAGACTTACTGTTTATGTAGAAAAAGACATCTTCTTGAAAATTGACAATGATGTCATTATTGAGCGATATCAATCGATGAAAACGCGTAGGGAACAGTTGTAAACTTATGTCTTATGTTTTTGTATTTGACTCTGATTAAAACTCTTACTCCTATAATATTTATTTTTATCTTTGATTTTTTTTGCAATAGAGGTTATTTTATACTAGAATTTTTTTTTGTCACGTACACATTATTATGCTACATGTCGATTTTTTTGCAATATAAGTTACTATGTATTTGACTAATTTTAGGCCCTACCTGAATGGAAAAGCTAGATCCGCCCCTGATGATGCACATAAAAGTGTACACATAATCGGCATGGAGGACCTCATGAATAACATCGACTGATCAACTCACACAAAGACATTCTAAGGACAATAACGAGTGGAAACTTAATTATGAGTTTGGTGAAACTGACCCACGAGTCCTTTTTCACCCCGTAAATGACACCAAATCTCATCATCAACACCTTCCTAATGGTTAAATTGTTCCTTTTTGAAATGCGTTAAGCGGACGATAACTAGCTTAAATGATGACATACAGTGATCCAGGCAGTATACAGCTAAATACTACGAGAAATGTAGTCAACACTCAACATGTTGCTACCATTAGCCTTTTTATTTTTTTATACTTCCTCCGTTCTTTTTAGTTGTAACGGTCATCATTTCACAATTCTCAACACACGTCTTTGACCGTAATTATATCTTAATCTCTATTAGTAACAAAATTTTAAAAATGAGATTTTGAAAATTTGTAATGAGATGAATTGAACAATATTATTTTTAAAAAATAATTTTCATAAAATAATAGCGTAGAATGTAGTCAAAGTAGAACATGTCAATAGTGTAAAATTCAACATGTTGCGATTAAAAAAACGGAGGATAGTATTAAACAAAAGGATGTCATCCTATTCCTGAGACCCCCTGAACTGATTGGACAACTATCTCAAAGGATGTATGCTGAGCTTTGATCACTCTGATAGAAGAAGAGTGAGGTTCAATCTCAAGTCATTACACGCTTGGAGTTGGACTCGGTATCTCTCTCTTGTCACTCTCTTTCTACCTACCAGGCACAGGCGTATCCACGATGGGGGCCGGGAGCAGCTGCCCCCACTCAACCCCCACCTAGCCCTTATATATATTCAATAAATAATTATGTGTGTGTAAATATATGTATTTTATACATTGAACACGAGTAGAGAAATGAATTGTCCCCATAGCATAGCAACAAGAAAGGTTCGGGTCTTCACTTAGGATTTATAAAGTTAATGGGTTCGAAACTTAAGTTTTCTGAATTGTTTTGAAGCCTCAAATCATTTAAAGTGACATTACATGTTTTTATTTAGTTTTTGTCCTCTTGAAAAGATTTGTATTCATAAAGTTTCACAATCACTCTTGTACATAATATAAACATTTTTTAATGTCCTGTGAATTCGAAATTTAAATTAATTTGAAGTACATAGTTAATCCTTCAACTCGTTTATTTCGTTCGTTTATTTATTAATAGGGAAAAATAATTAAAATATCTCAAACTTTGAAGGGGTGTTAGGTAAACACCCTAAACTGTCATATGTAATTTAAATATCCCAAACTTATATAAAAAATTATTTTAACACCATGTTTATGTATCCTTTCTTTCAAAAATGTAAATTTATGATGTTAAGTGTATAATTTAAAATAGCAAATTGAAAATGTTGTAATTATAAAGAGTGGGGGTGATACTAGTTATTTCACAATGAAAGTTTAGAATGTTAATTGTATCTTCATGAATGCTAAAATATTTTAAATTGTGAAATTAACACAAAAGGTTAACATTTTGGAAAAAATAATACATGACTATGGTGCTAAAATAAATTTTATATAAAGTTTGGGGCATTTAAACTACATATGCAAGTTTGGGATGCTTACTTCAAACTCATTCAAAGTTTGGGGTATTTTAATTATTCTTCCCTTATTAATATAATTTCAAATAAATTACAAAAACCGTGTGATCAAAATTTACTTATAACTAAGTGAAATTTATTTATTATGATTGTGTTTTTTTAATTATGATATCATAATGATTTTGTCAAGTGAATATTATGTTATTTATGATTGTTGTTACTATTTTTTTTCTTAGTGTGTTTAGTCGATGAGATTCGTTAGATAATATCTATGGAAATTACCCTAAATTGACTAAAAATGTGTATATTCCAGAATAGGATTATGCATGGTGTTTTTATTTTCAAAATAGAAGTAATTACTATCATGTTTTGACAATACCGGACTTTAAACATGACATTATTTTCCAAAATTGATAATAATTACTCCTATTTAGAGAATAAAAGCATGACAATCCTATTTTTGAATTATCAAACATTTTTACTCATATTTCAGAAATTTCCTAATATCTAAGGCATGTTCGCTCCCACTGACGAATTTTTCTGGATACGCCACTGCTACCAGGTGAGATGCGCCCCTCGGTATAAAGCAATGGGCGCACGTCTTCATTTTCAAGAGATAAAAACCAAAAACATGAATGAATAAAACATGATTTAAATTATTATTCAAAAGTTTTGAATAAATTAACTTTCACTATATTAGGAGTTCGAAATAGTCCACTTTAACTCAGTGATAGAGTAACATCATGATCAGGATTAAGGTGTAAGTTCGGTTCAAATCCGCTAAGTTTTTTTTAGTGTAGGGGTATTTTAGATCATACGACTATTGCATCTATTGTTATTGTATTTTTTTTTTGTATTTTCATGTTAAAAAAGGGCAATAATTATGGAAAGAGAAAGAACTGGGGTTAATGGGATTTCAATGTGTTAGTTTTTCATATCCAGGTGTGACCCAAGAGCGCAACACATGAAGTAGGAATCAAAGAAGTGATATAGTGCAATAAATACTCAAAAACTCAAAAGTATGGCACGATGGCACTTTTCAACTAAATGTCAACTATGACTAGTGTATATTATGTACGTAGTACATTTCATAAGAATTCAATTTGACATACAAGTAATTTGTCAGAAACCATGATTTTCATGCACAATCATTGACATATGTGCTAATGATATAAACAAATGCACAAATCAATTCAACTTGTGTTTAAAGATAGATTGTTTAATATCCCAACTAACCAACTCGGCATTATATGTATAAATAATATGAACAGAGCATATAACTCGATCACTAATGTCATTTTCCAGTAAATGATGTTCAAAGATGGTAAACTATAATCCTTCGTTCGACCCGTGTGAAAGCAAAGTTGATATTTTATTATAGAACTAAGAGTCTAAATGCATGAAGCTAGAGTTTTTATGCTCAACAGTCATGTAGTGTTATACGTTCTTACAAGTTACAAAGACAAAATAACTTGCCCTTGTAAGTAGACTAAAAGATGACATGATCTATACTAACATACCATACGACTAATGAGCAACTTTGCTAACTAATTAGCTATCAGCATGTTTAGTACGTAATCCGTATTTTCAGCTTATCAACATTATTAACTCACTTTTTATTAAACATGTAACTTTTGATTTGGTGCGTTGAGTTGTATAATAATAAAAAACTAAGGTCGAATTTACTTATTCAACTGAATTGACCGAAGTTATTGTATATTGTTGGAAACATGATGGAAAAAATTATTTTGAGTGGTCTAAGTTTTGGGTCTTGAGATATATTTGTAATATACTTCGTAGAAACATATGTAATGGGAGTGACTTATTATCAGAATACAACTTTCATACTTGGATTTATTTCATTCGGTGATTAGAATCCATAGTTGTAAAAGTTGTAAAGTGAAATATCAAAATGATAAATTATTGTCCTATATCATAAATAGATGGTCTATTAATAAAATAGTATGTGATAAGAATATCATTCAAGTATCACGTAAAGTGGCTTGAAATATTATTCCATACGCTCAGGCCTGTTCGGGATGATCTAAATTGTATGGGAAAATATCTCAAAGTTAAAAGACCATTTAAATTGTGTGGACAACAATCTTGAAATGTTTTATTATCTTTGTAATGATAATAAAACTGATAGCTTTTATGCTGCATTCGGACGTTACCAAACTTGAATTTGAACTACCGAGTGGGTTAATGTGATCAATGAAACAGTTGTTACTTCCATTTTGCATGGTTTTATATTGTTGTTCCGATTCCAGAAGTGTTACATAATGCGTTGATCAATCTCCAAAGTCCATACGTACAAATCATAAGCAAAAGCACTCGATCACTGCTAGTTTTTTTCTCTCTTCCCCCTAACGTATCAACTAGCGAGTAATAGAAAAAAAGCACTCACTCCTTTCTTTCTTCTAATCATTTTGTTTCTCTAAGTGTTTATTGAGTTTGAGTGCAAACCAAAGTTCTATTCGGGCAGCAGGCTTTTATTCTTTCATTCCAAGTTCTGTCTCTTTTAAGGCACCTTGGGCAACGATCGAATGTTTCAGTCAATTTAGCTACAAGTCTGAAACGGAGTAGGATTATCTTGGAAGCGAGTTAATAAGATCGGTCCGAGCAGCTATTGGAATACGGGGGCTATCTTTCTACAAGATCAGTCCGTTTTAACGGGCGATCATGCAATAAGTTTTCTTATCTTTTCTATCTATTCATTTTAATTTATTCTATTTATTATTATTATTATTATTATTATTGTTGTTGTTGTTGTTGTTGTTGTTGTTGTTGTTTTCATTCCTTGCATTTGGCGGTTTGTCTGGTGATTTGTTTAAACTCGAGGATTTTATCTGGTTAAACTCGCATTTTTAATATCAATTTTCTAACAATCTTGAAGAAAGATATTATTTCTCGAGTTTTGGTTATTCCAAAAATGGCAAACTTGGAAAATGCAGTTTTTTCCGAAAATGTTGTTGTTGAGAATAATGTGAAAGAAATTCCTGAAAATAATGTTATTTTTGTGTCTGTGACTAATTGTGGAGACACACCTTACTGTTGCCACGGGCTCGCAAAGGGTTGATTTAACTGGAATGCCGAAAAAAATTTCTGGGCATTTTTTCAAGCGTTGGCAACAACGCATGAAAATTTGGTTAATCACCAAGGGTTTGCTCTCGGTAACTATGATGATGTGCCCCCCCCCCCCCCACATTGTTGAATCGGATCCCAAAAG